TCTTGTTAGGATCGGATGTATTTTCAATTGAGAAGATACCCAATGGGGTACCTAATTCCTCCGTGCCTTCCTCATTTTTTGTTAACGGCTTCGAGAGGTTTGCTAGACTATTAGCAACGCTCTCCGCGAGTGCTCTTGACAATTTCTTTAACGGTATGTATTTCTAAAATATTAGAGGTCGATCGTCGAAATATGTCGACAAGCATGCAACCACGGCTTAATCCAACTTTGTCAATGCTTCTTTTTTAATTTGTGATCTCGCTCATTACGCAATAAATTTCTTGCTTGCGATTGCTCTGTTTTTTTCTTTGATTGCTTTATTCTCTTTGCTGTTAAATTCTCATTCTTATTAACCATACTCTTTCTTCAAACACTACTAAAATCGTCTTCTATTGCCAATTTTCTCACACGTTTGGTAATTAATTCCTAATACTCAAAGCTATTATCACTCCCCGGCAGCGGTGCCAAAATGTGATTGCTCGTTTTACTTATTTCGGAAGAAACCTCCCAGCATAAATCCGTATAGGGGGATTTGAACACGGAGAATCATTAGTTGCTTAAGCGTTCACGTTAGGATCATACAATCAATTATGTCCTGAATGTATCATCTCTATTTTTGCAATATCTAAACACACAAGGAAACTATAATTTCCTCCTTCATCTTATCAATCTCTTCCTTACAACAATTCAGTCATACCAATAACTACTATTTCCACCAATATATTCCTCCTCATAATCTCCAACTGTAATACTATGCCCTCACAACTTTCAGCACACAATTACCCTCATTCCAATCATTGAAATTCTTCATACAAAATTGCCATTCACATTACAGTGTTTCACACAAACATAGACTCATTTTCTCTACTAAACTACAATCAGATTTTAGCATTCAATCTTTCTTCTTCTCAAATAATACCAATCACATTTCCATTCCATAATTCACTTCACAATATTCAGAAACTTTCAATCCTCTTATTCAAAGAAAATAACAAACAAAAAAAAAGAGGTAGCACCAAGCTTACCTCTGCTCACAACTCTCACAGTCTAGCCCTCGGCTCACAACTCTCACAGTCTGGCATTTTCTTCTCCTCTTCCATCCTCCTTATACTACCCCAAGATAGTAACTCCTATACTACAGATGATAACTACTTTTCCTGACTATTCATCCATTCTACCTACTGAACCACCTTTTCAGCAATTATCTATCCCTGTTTACACTATACACTAGGTATCTACATTCTGAAAATAACTACTTATTCTATAATATATTTCAAAGATGGATACATGGATCTATGATAAAATTTTAATATAAAGATGAGTTTTGAAAGAAGATTATGAATTTTTTTTGAAATTATTGAAAATCTAACTTACCAGCAAATAATTAGTCATGATTTGGTATAGCAAAAGATATTAGAAAATTTCTAAATGTTGTAAAAAGTCTTATGTATAAATCTTTTTTAATTTTAATTTTTTTATTAATAAAATATCTTTTGATATTATTATATTTATTTATCTTTTAAATTAAAAATAAATCACTTATTCGAGCTTGGCCAAAAAGTTAAAACTAAACTCTTTATATCTAGGTATTCCAATTTTATAAATCATGTCATACAATAGCATATATATAGAAAATTTATCTTACATATTAAGTCATTTGTCTTACAAATTGGACATGTGTTGGAGGTCCTATAGGACATCAATATATAGTTCTTATTGGATAGTATATGTAGAAGAAAGAATGAAGCTTTCTTCACTCTTATCAATACCTTTGTAGTTCTTAATCTTGTTTTAAGACTTTCTAATCTTTTTGTCTTTGGCAATAGCCATTTTAGTTTAATATTATACCATCTTTGAATGATTTTTTAGTCTTTTTGAATCAGACAAGAATGTATTGATCTTTTAGTCCTTTGAGATTTATGTCCTTAACATCCATCAATTTCTATAACAAATGACTTCAATGAATTTACAAATCAAATTAGAAGAGAGTAATTTGTAACTTCTAATATGAGATAAAAATTTCCACAAAGAAAGGTGCCGCTCTCTTATAGGCAAAAATCAATGTTAAAGAAAAAAAATATTAATTTAAAGGTAGATAGTTTGCAATCTTAAAAACACAATATAAAGTTGAGAAGATCTATTTACTTCTAAATCAAAAAAATAATATAAAATTAAAACTCTTATCAAACTTTCAAAGATATAAATAAAAAAAAATCAAAATGTCTATGCACTCTTGTATTATTCAAAAAGAATAAATATTCTTTCAAAAATAATATAATATTAAAACTAAACTAACTTTTTTTTTAAAAAAAAAGACTAGAGACTCTTGAAAAAAAACTAAGAGTAAGAAAGACATTGACAAGAGTAAGGAAGGCCTCACTCTTGCCTTCATATATACTATCCAATTAGAAAGTATGTAATGATATCCAATGGAACCTTTGATATGTGTCCAACTTGCAAGACAAATTTTCTACATGTACACCACATGGCTAACTTGTACTATAAGTCTCCAACATATGTAATATGTAGCCAACTTGTTGGCTAAGTTCTCAACTTATTAATCACTTACAAACATGTATAAAGTCAAATCTGCATCTATGAAATTTTTAAGAAGTTTATCTCTAAGTTACTATTAAATTTATTTATTTTTATTTATTTCTATCTACTTCTTTTAATCTAAATAATTATATATATTTATGATTCTAACCTATTTTTTTTCTTGTTTATGATCCTAGAAATTAATTTAAATCTTTTTTATATATAAAAAGATAATATTAAATCTAAATCAATTTTTACTACTTCTTTCACTTTTATCTATTTTTTCTAGATTTATTTTTTATTATATTTTTAATTAAGATCTTCTACAATATGGTTATTTTTTATTTTATTTTATTTATTTTTTATCTAATAGTTGTATTATAATATAATAATAACAAATCTTCACTTGATCATTCAAATCGATTGTACATCTAAGGTGTCAATTAATATACAACATCATTAATCAATTTTTATGGTGAATTTATTTCTCTTATATAAGGTCTTTTTACTTAATTTATTGAAATAATATCTAATTGTAAAAATTAATTATCTACCAATATTCTTAATCCTAAAAAATATAATATAAATCTATAATACTTAGTAATAAAGCTAAATAGAATAATATGTGGCAATAATAATCCTCACCAACAACTAATGGAATAAATATAAGAATATATAAGTTATATATATCTTCTATAATATAAGATATATAATACAAAGCTTCAAATTTTCTTGTTAAAATTTTAAATTTAGCTTCACTTAAAAATTATATAAGTTTTTAATATAAATTTTGAATTTTTGGTAATTCTGAATAATCCTTTTATTCCATGTAATCCATCTCTAGTTATAAGTCAACACAATAATATTATTACTCTTCACATAAAAAAATATATTTTTTAAAACTTATATATTTATTTCATAAATTTCTAAAAAGATCTAATTTGTTACATAAATATTTAAAGTTACATATGAAACATAAGTACTTTCTTTAAACATCTATTTTATATTTGATTCCAATAAAAATTGATTTATAAAATCACAAGGTCTTTTATGCAAGTAATACTTCAAAATCTCATATTTAAAATTTTAAAAAAATTAGTGATAAATGATATATTTGAGTATGCTTTCTATACTACTAATGTTTGTGTATTAATAATGTTTTGTATTACTGTTATTGTATAATGTAAAAATTAGCATAGAAATATATTAGATATTTAATTGTAAAAATATTTGTTCTTAACTTGAAGGTACAATTCAAAAAAAATAATGCATAAGATATTTAGAAACATCTTAGCAATCTTAAATAACCTAAAAAATCTTTTCATATTATATTCAACTTCAAATAAACTTTAAATAATCTTTAAATAATCTTTAAAAAAACTCCTACCTAAATCTTAAAGAAATAAAAAAGAAATCTTAGATAAATATTTAAAAAAATCCTAAAGAAATTTTTTAAAATCCTAAAAATATCATAACAAATCTTAAAGAGATTACAAAAAATCATAAATAAATCTTAATTAAATCGTTATCAAATCCTAAAACTTCTAATCAAATCTCAAGTAAACCTTAACACCTAGTTAAATCTTAAATAAACACCACAATAAGTTTAAACCTCAATAATTATTACATTACCATTAATCTTGATTTAAACTTACTAAAAAACTTAATTTATTAGTTTAAATTAAGCACACAAAGCTTGATGACGATCTAACATACAAATTGGAAGAAAATGCTCATTATCCACTTAAGTGTTGGTTGTCTTCTTTCTTTAACCTCAAAACAAAACTTCCAACTTCAAACTTTTTCTATTGAATCATTAATTTTTTCTCAAAATTTGTAAGAATGTAAAAAAAATAATCAACTATTATATTTAAAGAAGTTATTCTAATCCAACTTGCAAATTACTTAAAATCTAAGAAACCTTCACTAATCTTCAAAACCCAATCTCCAAGACAAATTTAAAGAGGGCTTTTACATATAAGTTACCCTTTAGATAGTGACAATTTTTTCCAAAAAATTAAACAAAGTTGCATGCTTACAAATCACCTATCTACCTACACAAACAAACAAACAAAAATAAATTAATAAATAAATAAAATCAAATTGTTTAAACTCAACAATCAATCACAATAATTTTACATACACAATCAAATTATTGAAAAAATAATTGACCAATTTAATTATTGCTAAAATGATGAACCAAAAACCAATTAATGTCCGTTATATAACTAGTGAACTAGCTTATTCTCAAGGCAGGGCCGGTCCCGATAAACTGGTCAGGTCACAGAGCTGAAAATTCAGGCCACGTAGGCTCGGCAGAGGTGAAGTGGACCTTCAGAAACGAGCGACGGTAGAGAGTACAAAAAAAACAGGCGGGACCTTTCCCGCTGTAGCTGTTACTGTTGCTGCCGTCGTTAAAACACAGACACAGATGGATCAACGACCGCGGAGGAGGGAGTGGGGGAAAAACCATCACCCATATAATCCAGAGGCCTCGTCGTCCGAGCGTGCGAGCGGGGGCTGCGAGCTACCATCCTCTCTTACGATTGACGACCAGTATTGGTTGCTATCGTCGATACACAACAATTAGCTGTAAATCTATTTTTTCTACAATACTCTCGGCTTAATTGTTGTCCCCTTAACGTAGGTGCTGGTGGTGGCAGGGAATTGTACTCATATTTTTTTCAGTGGTTTTTCGCTTGATAGGGACTGAACTTGAGAGCGAGGAGTGAGCGAGTGATGACGACCACTTCACTGGCCTTGGCTGGTCTTCCAATTGTGACCCCTGACCACTCATCTCAATTCGTACTCCGGCGGAATGGCACTGCTTGTCATGGAAGAATTGCATTTCCCACTCGGGTTGTTGCGGGATTGGTTCGTGCGGGACGAGGATATGCGTTCTCAGTGCAGGGTGATCTAGAGTTGCAGTTGCGGAGGCGGAGCTGCAATTTCGGCAGAGGAGGTAAAGAATCGGTCGGTGTGAGTCAAGCTTCGGCTGCTGACGTCGTGGTGGTGAAAGACGATATGAAAGTTGGAGGTCGAAGCGCAGACCATGGCGATGAGAGAGTGCTGCAGCTGGTGGCTGAGGTGCGAGAGGCTTACATGACCATGCGGACGAAGCCCGCGGAATGGCGTGTCCAGCAGCTGAAGGGACTCCTCCGAATGGTTATCGAAAGCGAGAGCGAAATTGTGGAAGCTCTGTACGCTGACCTCGGCAAACCTGCGCACGAGTCGTACATGTCTGAGGTCAGTTGCAGATTATCCATCACTTGTGACAAGGTGTCCATTATGTCTTCTTAGACCCTCGTTTTGCTAATTTTTTTCATTAGGTGATTATTCTCCCACTTAGCCATGGCCAGAAAATTTCTGCATCCTACTGGCGCTTCGAGCTCAACCATCGTTACACGGGGCACTGTGCGTGTATGCTAATTAAGTTTTGAAGTGTCTTGAAACTGCAGATTTCTCTGGTCAAGTCCTCTTGCAAACTTGCCATCAAAGAGCTCAAGAAATGGATGGCTCCTCAAAGGGTAACTGAATAATGCTCTTCTCTCTGAACTCGAAGTTTGCAGAAATCCCCAGCTTCCCATGCTTTTGCAGAGCTGTGTATAATGCATGTAATGTTCGGGGCATTGATGGTGTCAAAGTCATGGTTGTAGGTTTCTGGGAGCATGATCACCTTCCCATCCTCGGCGTCGATTGTAGCTGAGCCGCTGGGAGTGACGCTGGTGATTTCTGCATGGAACTTCCCCTTTTGTAAGTGCATCATGAGCCAAGCTCTTGTTTGTAACCTCGATTAAAGGTGTAAGTCTCTAATCAAGGGCTGAGTGTTTGATTCTCTTGGTCGCAGTGTTGTCGGTAGATCCACTGATCGGGGCCATCTCTGCTGGTTGCGCGGTGGTGCTTAAGCCTTCGGAAGTCGTTTACGCCACGCCGGCTCTACTGGCCAAGCTCATCCCTCTCTACATGGACAACTCCGTCATTCGTGTGGTGGAAGGTGGCGTGGCTGAAACCACCTTGTTGTTGGAACAGAAATGGGATAAGATTTTCTACACAGGTGCGTTTAGTCCGAAGTAGATCGAATATCAATGCACGATTCTTTGCAAATTCTGAATGAAGCCGTTGACGAGTTGCGGTTGAATCGGTTGACAGGGAATCCAAAAGTGGGACGAATCGTCATGGCTGCGGCCTCCAAGCATCTCACTCCAGTGACATTGGAACTCGGTGGCAAGTGCCCGGTGTATTTTGATCGCTCGGCCAATTTGAAGGTATGTCCATAGTATGTTTCTTAAGATTTCCAAGCACGGATGTCTTTGTGAAGAGTGCATCATTTCCTGTGTTGTCTCGCGGATTATATTCAACCATGATGTGATTGCTTTCTCAGGTAGGTTTAAGGAGAATAGCGCAAGGAAAATGGGGCAACAACAACGGACAGGCTTGCATTTCACCAGACTACATCTTGGTTGACGAGAGCATCGCGTCGGAATTGGTCAGTATTTCATTTTATGCCACTGTGGTGGTCTCAAAGTTCCCCAAATTGTCATATTCATTGAGTTCGTCAACCTTATATGCTGAATGTTTGGTTATTCATATTCAAGATGTATCCGATGTTGGGACTACAGGTTGACAATCTGAAAGAGATCATCGAAACATTCTATGGGAAGAATCCCATTTCATCGACAAATTTGTCTCGAATCGTGAACACCAAGCACTATTTGCGTCTCATCAGCTTTCTGGAAGATCCTCAGATATGTTCCAAGATTGTTCATGGTGGAGAGAGAGACGAGAAAAAACTGTAAGCATTTTAGACCTGCTTCAATGTTAATCTGTCCTTCGATTTGTGCAGAATTTCTCTACTCTTGCTTGAAATTAGATATCGCTTGGGTGAGCTTCTGAAGTTTTGCAGGTACATTGCTCCAACTCTTGTATGCGACGCCCTTATGGATTCATTCCTGATGTCGGAGGAGATTTTTGGACCAATTCTGCCAATCATCAAGGTAACGGGTGTCGTGGTCTGAAGCCTGAAAGCTAAGTGTCTTTTTTTAGCTAGTGCACGTACACTGGTTTGCAACTGTTGCTAACCTCGCTAATCATCTGAGCAGGTGCAGGGAGAACAAGAGGCCATAGACATCATAAATGCCCGGCCGAAGCCGTTAGCGGCGTATGTGTTTACCACTAACAAGGCAGTTGAGGAGCGGATGGTGAAGAATGTTTCTTCTGGTGGCATGGTTGTCAATGATACCGTCATGCACGTAAGTGTTTCAGAGACTACTGCATCCTTGCGGATTCTTTATTTCTTTCCTTGCGATGCTGCTTGTGTGAAGACTTGAGCGCTAATGAGCAATATTGTTATTTTTAAGCATACAGTTCGTTAACCCTGGTCTGCCATTCGGAGGCGTTGGCGAGAGTGGAATGGGTTCATATCACGGAAAGTTTTCCTTCGACGCTTTCAGTCACAAAAAAGCAGTGCTGTATAGAACCAGTCTAGGGGACTTCCCTGCGCGGTACCCACCTTTCACGACGAAGAAGCAAAACTTCCTCAGATGCGTGTTAGACGGGGATTATATCGGCGCCATTCTGTCATTGACAGGGTTGAAAAAGTGACCTTCCTTAATGTAGTATTATTCTCCTTTTAGGAGATCTTTCATTCTTTATATTGAAAATTCTCGATCATTGCTTTTGCGGCCTCTCACAACGCTCGTTAGAGTCCATGTATTTCAAGGTTTGTTATCAAACGCATCACATTTTCAAGCACGCATGATTGACACAAAAACAAAAGGACTAGACTTTGGAAGCCAATTGACAGTATATATTGCCAATCATGTTCAAAAGAACAAGCATCTGAAGTTTTGAAGCACCATTTCTCGTATTTTCAACGGCTTCGAGGCATATCATCGGCATAATGACTCGGTCCATGGATGAATTTCGTTTCACTTCTCGCATGTGTTCGACAGCTGACTGCAGCTGCTTAGTGCACATGCAGTATCATGGAGCAGCCTAGATAATTCTGGTTTGAAGCGAATGGTTATGCGTGGTTGCGGTCTAAGTAGGGACGCCACTTCACGGCCTGTCTAACCCGTAAGGGTAATTCAGGTTGCAGCTCCAGCATCTACCTTTTGTACTAATTGCTGGCGAGCTGCACACATAGAATTGGCTGACAAAGTGGATATTCTTCTCTCGTAAAGTAGAAGTAAAATCGAGGAAAGGTCTCTTTCCGCAATCAACTTCAACGACGCAGTCGTCATGCTGATTGTTTGCGGCCTTCTCATTAATGTGAACTGAGGAGCTACGCCAAACACGGAAATCATTCCATCAATTTCAGATTTGCGACCTTGTCCAGAAGACAACGTTGAAGGCCATTCAAGCAATTCTGCTGTAGTCTGGTGAATTATAGTCCCTGCGAAGTTAGGTGTGCCTCTCTGCTGTCCAGTAAACTTAAATGCTTTTCACATTTATATGTCTATGACCTCCATGTCTGTTGTTGTAAGGACATAGTGATGGCAAATCTAGATGATAATCTATTCCTCTGCCGTGGCCCCCACCATGGTCAAAGTTTTTCAACCTGACTTATGCACTTTGAGAGAAGTGTGAGCTAAAAATCCTCTCTATCCACTTTTAGAGGAAAAATAACTACACAACAAGTTCAAAAGGTAGTAGGCACTAATTGAGTGATTACTTTAATGCTTGGTTAATTAATCAAGTGATTCTAAATTCAACTCTCTAGATAATGCCTTCCAAGTAATGGTTATCATTTAATTGAATTTAGAACAAGTAATAAAAAATAAAATTATAAAAGAGAAGAATTAGATAGAACTAGCAAAATGGAAGTAGCCGGATGAGAAAAGATGGATAGAATAAGCAATTGGATGAAAACAACACCATTGAATGAAAACAGGCCCAGTTAGATGGAAACAGTGCTGCTAAATGAAAACATGTGCAACTGGATGAAAATAGGCCCAGTTGGATGGAAATAGTACTGTTGGATGGAAATAGTACTGTTGGATGGAAATAGGTGTTGTTAGATGAAAAAGCAGCAAAAGACAGAACAGCAGCAACAACAAACCTCCAAGGCAGAGTAGTAGCATTCAAAAACCCTCCAAACTTCAAACTCTTATAACTTTTCCATCTCTACTCCAAATTTGATGATTCTTTTGCCTAACTGTAGAATAAGTAGTTATTTTCAGAATGTAGATACTTAGTGTATAGTGTAAACAGGGATAGATAACTGCTGAAAAGGTGGTTCAGCAGGTAGAATGCATGAATAGTCAGGAAAAGTAGTTATCATCTGTAGTATAGGAGTTGGTATCTCGTGGTAGTATAAGGAGGATGGGAGAGGAGAAGAAAATGCCAGATTGTGAGAGTTGTGAGCCGGAGTAAGCTTGGTGCTACCTCTTTTCTTTTGTTTGTTATTTTCTTTGAATAAGAGGATTGAAAGTTTCTGAATATTGTGAAGTGAATTATGGAATGGAAATGTGATTGGTATTATTTGAGAAGAAGAAAGATTCAATGCTGAAATCTTATTGTAGTTCAGTAGAGAGAATGAGTCTGTGTTTGTGTGAAAAACTGTAATGTGAATGGCAGTTTTGTGTGAAGAATTTCAATGATTGGAACGAGGGTAATTGTGTGCTGAAAGCTGTGAGGGCACAGTATTACAGTTGGAGATTATGAGGGTGAATATATTGGTGGAAATAGTAGTTATTGGTAAACAAAACGAGAATTATTCTAATTTCTTCAACTCTGAATTTCACCAAGAAGGTGTATCCAATACTCACGGATTGGCAATGAATCAACCAGGATACCATCAATATCCACCCATGACGAAGCCAATGCCAGACTTTATAGTAACAATGGGTCAACCAAGATCCTTTACTCATCCGACATGGAACAGACCTAGTCGTTATATACCAGTAGAAACACCCATTATCCCTGAAGGAGTTGGCAGGAGACCACTTCATTGCTATCATTGTAGACAAATCAGACATTATGTGAGTGAATGTCCTAATCCAAGGGCCGGTGATGATTATGCTCCAATATGTAGAAATTGTAAGCATTCTGGTCACACTTATCACTAGTGCAATGTGCCCTTTAATAACCGTGACCAGCAAATGCAAACAAGCCAACTGACAGAGGAGAAAGGCCTTGTTCTACGAGACTCACTAATACATCATGTCAAGGTGGTGAACGCAGTACTTTCCAGAGGCCAACAAAAAGACAAGAATCCAATTCAGGACATGGATGAACCAATCGCAGGAGAGCAAGTAGCGTTGTCCACGGGGCTAAACGAACCAATATCAGTATTGGGACGTATTCCAATATTGAGACCTCAACAGACTGAGGAACTCAATTCGGTACTACGTGCTAATTTATCGGGACCATCAAGATCGATCCCAAGTGACCAAGTACCAATACCTATACAACCCAATAAAAGATCTTACACGTTAAAGGAACCTTTAGTAGTAGACAAGTTGGCGAAGTTACCAATAGCAATCGTAATCGCCAAGAAGGAATTGTTGTCGAACGGAATAAAATTGAAACTAATAAAACGCAAAAGAGTATTGGAAATTACTCTCAATATGGAACCCTACGACATTCTGAGGGATTTGGATGTTATTCAGCCTTCAATTACAATGAAGCAACTTTTGGCTGTAGCACCGGAATGTCAATCTACATTGAATTCAGCATTAATATGACAAAGATCCCGCACTAAAGAAATTCATGAAGTTAGCTTAAACCCAGATCCGGGAGCACCAACAATCGATGTATCAATCGATGGCGTTTTAATTCCAGGGGTACAAGTCGATGGTGGCTCCAGTGTGAATTTAATGAACGTGGATATAATGGAGGACTTAGATCTAAAGCCATTATTACCTACAACATTGGTCTTGCGAATGGCAAATCATAGTGAGATAAAGCCAATGAGAATCTTACGCAATATTGCCACTATAATCATGGGATTGATGTACAAAATCGATTATATTGTATTCCGATTACAGAGTTCTATGTTATCGTATTCCATTTTATTGGGCAGACCTTGGCTTTATCAAGCCAAAGCTAAGAACGATTGGAGTCGAGGCACATTGACAATTGAAAAAGGCCGGGACGAGATTGTTCTACAGATGTACCCGATACAATATCATGGAGAATATCAATTGCCAGAATCAAAATTTACATCATATAATAAGAGTCAATCGATTGAAGCAGATGACAATGCTATAGGTTTACCGCAATTTGAGGTAGGACAAAACACTTCAATAGCAAAGGTAGGAGTCTACCAATGTGGAAGCCCTAGTGAATATTTACTGCATCAAGAGGATGCGACTAACTCGGATCATGCTATTGTCGAATGGATGAACAATTCTGCAGTCAATAGAGTCAATACATTGGCACCAGATTTGGATGGTTCCCATATGTCGGATAATACAAGAAATTCAGATCAAGAGAAGACAATTAAATCAGAGGTTGTTGAAGACCCTGTGTATCAATCTATTAACCTGGGTACCAACAAAACGCCACAGCTAATTAAAATATATGCCGGTATTATCGGTACAGAATTGGATACTTAGAAACAGTTTTTCGTCCGTCACAAATCTGCCTTTGCATGGTCGTATGCGGATTTAAAAGGGATTCCAGCCGATGTGTGTGAGCACCAGATTATTCTGGAGGAGGGTGTTATGCCAGTTCGTCAAAGACAACATCGGCTTAATCCAAAACATTCTCTTTTAGTGAAAGAGGAATTGGATAAATTTTTTGATATGGATTTTATTTATCGTGTTCCACATAGTGCATGGGTGTCGCCAATCATGATGGTATCGAAGAAGAATGGGAAAATCAGGATATATCAAGATTTTCGAAAGTTAAATACGGCTACTAAGAAGGACTATTTTTCATTACCATTTACAGATAGTATTTTGGACACAGTGGCCGGACATGAATGTTACTTATTTTTGGACGGATTTTTGGGGTATAATCAAATTAAAATTACCGAAGAAGACCAGTTGAAGTCTACGTTTACCACAAATTAGGGCACATTCGCCTATAAAGTAATGACATTTGGGTTATGTAATGCCCCGGCTACTTTTCGATGGGTAATGACACAAGCGTTTCAAGATTACCTACGTTTATCTATGGAGATATTTCTGAACGATTTCTACACTTTTAGCACAATGGCTGAACATCTAGCATGCCTGGATAACTGTTTGAATCAATTCGACAAGTATGGGATATCTCTAAATTCAGAGAAGTGTCAATTTGGCATACCATCGGGAAAGCTATTGGGACACATTGTCTCTATTGAAGGTATCGCTATGGACCCCGATAAAGTTACTCGTATATTGGGTTTACCAAAGTCAGATATGGTGTCGTTCGTACGCAGTTTCATCGGCCATGTCAACTACTATCAGTATTTTATTGAATCTTTTGCGGTTATCTGTCAACCGTTAATCCACTTATTAAAGAAACCCCTATCAGATGGGTCTAGTCCAATATGGACTGAAGACTGTACTTTCCCATTCGACGAATTGAAACGAAAATTGCTATCTGCCCCAATTCTTGTAACAGCTTCTTGGACAAAATCGTTTCATGTCTATGTGGACGTGTCTAATGTTGCTATTGGATCTGTTCTCAATCAAAAGGATGAAAAAAGATTAAATCATCCCATATATTATGCAAGCCGATAATTCGTTGCTACAGAAC